AGGAGGAGAGTCGAGCCGCTGGGTGCCGCAACTCTCTTGGAACCATGTGGGTGCGTGTGTGTGTGTGTGTGTCTCCTTTTTTAAGACCCCCAATTTCCTTTTGATTTCCCTTCGATACCACTCAAGGGATACCCTCAAAGGAGGACACGCCCATGAGTTCCCGAAGCTCTGGCCGCAGCCCTTCAAGCAGGATGCTGTTTGAATGAACCTAGGGATCCAGATACTTAGATACCTAAAGATGAATCCTGAACCGTTTCTTTCTTTGGACGCTTATGTCAAGCCAAAGTGCTGCAAATCATAGCAGCCCACATCGGCTGATAATTGAGTCTTCTCTTTTCGAGCCAGATAGAAGAGCCAACACATGTCAACGCATTAGATCACTTCCTGTCCGCAAATAGTTTGGCAGTAATGAAGCGTTGTTGGAATACCTCCACGCGTTCAATGAACAGACAGCATATCTTGGAGGTTTCTTAGATTGTTCTATTTGCAGTCACGGCCTCCACAATGTTCTACCAGAATTCCCAGTTCCATTTGGCAAGTAAGTCAGTCGCTCACCACGGTGCCTCTTGAATATGCTCACCGAGCGAACGCCTCACAGGAGACCGCACGAATATTGGAGAAGAGAAAGGAAAGAGAAAAGCGGGAGGCTGGCTCGCCACGTGATGCTGTGGTTTCGAGCTCCTGAAGCACTCAGAATGTGCATCTCCAAAGAAATCCAAGCGAATGCGCATCTCAAGAGATGTTTGCAAAGAGACTGTGCTTAAGACTTGGTCTGGGTTCCACCAGACTTCACTCTCCTTTTTGACTTGCGGCCTCTGGTGGTGGTTGGAACCTTCGGCTTTTCAAGGGTGAAGAGAACTGCAGTTACAAGTCTTGGCAAGGTACCCGGCATGGTTTGGCTGGGTGGGCATGGCTTCGACAAGTCAAAACCTGACTTCATGGAAGGAAGGATTGAGAACCTTGTGTTGACACGTTACTTGGGTGTGCCGTCTAAGTGGGGATCCGTCACTTAGCTTGCTGGTGCGATTGAGGGAATGGCCCCCTGTAAACCATCCAAATGGTGGTTTCCTTTAAGGGAATCCCTGATTTCTTCCCACTTCCCTACTGAGCACCAGCAAGTTGGGGGGCACATCAACGAGCTTTGTCGAACTCAGAATGGATCCCCGACTGTAAATCTGTCAGCAGAGCTCCAAAGCGACCGTGAGCTTGACAGGCTGCTAAGCTTCAAGCAAAGAAGCAGGCAGCCGGAGTGGACTCCATGTCGGCCGATGTTAAGAGGAAACCGTACACGGGTGGAAATGGCTATGTTTAAATTGGCAACCCGTTACAAGTGGGTGGAAGCCAGGAACTCTCCATGCAAATGATGTCTAGTAGGGGCTTGAACATAATAGAATATACCCAGCTTCCATGGTTTTTGCTGGTTGAGCCGATTCTCACTCACTGTTTACAACCGATTCTACCATTCGCGCGGATGGTTGTCCGGACACCGAGATAATGTTCCATCCGATCCGGGAAACTCAGAAGCTTGGCTGAGAAGTTCCCAGCGCCACCCAACTTGTGCCAAATTTCGCATGAGGGATCGATCGCATCGGCTTCAGGTAGGCAGCTTGGCGGATGGGAGTTTGGTGTCAGGATCGGCTTGTGGTAGGTTGAGAGTTGGTTTAGAGTGCATCTAGAGTGTGTTCAGAGCTTCGTTAAAGGTTGGCTTTAGGGTGGATTGGGCTTGGGTTACTTTAGAAGCTGTAGAAGCGGATAAATCAACAAATTTAAAATTTGCAATCGCATGTGTTAAGACGCTCTGCATATGCAGGATGCTCGAAGGATGGTCCTGGTGTGAAGTCAGCAAGTCTTTGGTATTGGTTTTGGGGTCAACTTGAAGCTCTCTAGGGGTGCAATTCAACGGGGCATGCCCGGCAAAATGTTGCCTACCGTGGTGTGTCCATGAAAGAAGCAGCCAAGATGTCGCCAAACATGTTACCTACCATGATCTACCATGTGCAAGAGGTTAACCAGTGACACCCGTCCATGAAAAGGATCAAGTGTTGTTTTTCCTGGCGGATGGTTTACTTGTGCTTGATTTGGAGTGGCTCAGTTAGCATACCTACTCTCCACATGGAACTGGAAACGCAACACCCCAGCGTTTGTAGAGGAGTCTTTTTTAGGAGAGCCTTTGTTCGGATCCACGTTTGTTTGTAAGGGGGTGGAATTAGATACAGGAGTGTAGAATCCCACCGGCAAAGCTGCGTTTCTGGCCTCTTTCCACATGTCCGCTTCTCCCTTGCAAGAGGCTTGTACAGAGGGCTACGGAGACCCAACAATGCAAACATTTATCCTGCAGTTCAGTTCGGTCTGCTCGTCCAGGGGGCTAGCCTCCCATAAATGGAGATTGGACACATACACATTTGAGGGTTTTTTTTGGCAAAGACCGTAACACCCTAAACCCTTGGTCCTTTTGACTGCATAGATGCTCTGATTTGCAATCCTAAGAGGTGACCCCATGTAAGATAAAAAGCCTCAGCGCATGCCGAGACCTCTGAGAAGGCCTGGCACTGAGCGCGTTTGACAGCTCGGTCAAAGTCGCGCCATTTAGGAGAGACATGCGGGGCTCGCGACGTGTTGCGCGGAAAAACTCTCATGTCTTTTTAGGATTGGGGTGGCTTTAATTCCAGGAGAGACAGGAGTGACAAGGGCCCCCAGTTCCAACCCCTGGATTTTGAATGCACGCTAGTTCAACCCAGTCAAGAAGTAGGCCCTGTTTCGGCTAGCCAATCGTACTTGTTGATGGATCCCCGTTCGGCCTCAACTAGGGGGCAATTTGCTAGTTGCTCTTGAGATTCGCCAAGTCTCCATTTAGAAATGTCCACCTTGCGAAATCGCCATTCTCCAGCAATCTCAGGATGCGAACGGTCAAACATGGGATCAAGCTGTTCAAATTGGAGTTGGTTTAGCTCAATGTGTGGCCTTTGCTTTGTATGCTGGAGCTCGTGCTCTGGCTGTGGGGGTTGGTTTGGGGCTCTTCTTTCCTTTAGGGAGGCCAAGGGACAGCTCTTTCCATGCCGAGTTCCTGTCGGTGTTGGGGATTAGGATCTTTTCGAGGATGTGAACTATAGAGTCAATTTGATCGCTCCCAAGATGAGCTAATTCGCGGAGCCAACCTGGTACAGCCTCAATGACCGCTGCATCCGGTGTTTTTTTCTGCATGTTTTTCCTCTGAGGAAGTGTCACTCTTTCCGCATGGGTGAAAGCCGCGTCGGCTCAGGTCTTCACACCCAGTACCTTGGAAGGCAAAGTCATGTCAGAGGAGGAGGCCCGAAGATTTCAGGCGTCGCTCAAGCGCAGATGAAGAACACCGCGTCGCGACTTGGCCCGGATATGACTGGCAGGCATGGGACATGCGCTTTGGGGCAGCGGAGACGGTTGGGGCAGGTGTCCAAGGGTGGGATATGCACGGGCATGCCGGTGTGGTTGAACAGCTTTTCATTGCACAGGATTAAATTATTGCATTTGATGTAGTTGGGAGGGTATCTTTCATTTTTGGACCCACCCTGCCATTTGGTGTCAACAGTGCAGAGACTCCAGGGGTTTGGGTCACCAGCATCTAATTAGTAGATTGCCTGGGAGGGTGTGCAGGCATGGATATGCAGATGTACGACAAGAAATGCTCATGTTGTCAGACGGTAGCCCAAGCATCATCCCGCCCAAGGCCAATGATTCTCGGGACCTACAGCGCGCGCAAGCTTGCGCGATGATGGAAAAGGGATGCGACGCGCAGGTTGGAGGCCTTATGGCCAAATTGTGTGTAGCCGCTAATTGGGGGTCGATCAATATTCCTGGCCTCCAAATCACCATGGGTAACTTGTGCCATGTGGAAATCATATGTTTTGTTTATTTGGTTTTACCCAATGGTCATCCCATGTAAAGAACCTTTGATCAACCTCCAACCACTTCTCGCAGTTTTCAAGAATTGTAATGTCCCACAGTGTTCAATCAGTTAGTGAGATTTTCTGACACAGTCCCCAGCCGCATTTCCCACTACTCTTGATCACGATCATTCAAGCCGCTAGTCAGTCCGGCTGCGCAAGCTGTCGCTTGCTCAGTACTGAAAAGTGTGGTTCTTGGCTGTTGCTGCAAAACACAGACTTGTCAACTTAGCTTATGACTCAAAGCTGGTAAAATGGCCCAAACTAGCCAGGTGTGCCATGCTCCTTGTCACCGACTTGTGCTTTGAGGTCTTGCCCGACAAAAGATATGGAGCTTCTTCTTAGTTCCCGCCCCTCGGCTGAAGGCCATCGTCTTGGTGCCTTCACCAATCCAATTCGCGGCGAAGGGAAGGCAACACTCGCGAAACGGCACTGAGTGAGTTTTGATCAGAATCGGACATGTGTGTATGTGTGTTAGTGACGCGTAGACGCTGAGGAATGCGTTATATTATTCTTATCTAGGGGAATCGTATGTATGTTAATGACGCCCTCTGATAAGAAGTATTGTATATTATTATGTGTATTGTTATTGTTATTGTTATTATCATGATTATTTTTATTATTATTATTATTATTATTATTAGTATTATGATTATTAGTATTATGTTTATTATTGGTATTATTGTTATTATTATTATGATTATTAATTATTGTTATTATCATTATTGTTATTATTATTAGTATTATTATTATTATTTTTTATTTTTATTATTATTATTCTTATTGTTATTGTTATTATTGTTATTGGTATTGTTATTATTATCGTTGTTGTCATTTGTTTAAATTATTATTATTATTGTTTTTTTTTTTCAATTATTTATTATTTATTATAATCATTATTATTATTATTATTATTATTATTATTATTATTATTATTATTATTATTATTATTATTTATTATTATTTATTATTATTATTATTATTATTATTATTATTATTATTATTATTATTATTATTATTATTATTATTAAGTAACATAGCTTATATGGTGTCGATCCCTTTGCCGGGCAATTCTGCCAGGCGGTCTTATGCACCAGCACGAGCCTGATCTGGCAGCTCACTGGCTTCAGAGGACGCGAAAAACGTGGTGTCCGGTTTGAATGCGCCCTCGGTTTTTGGAGTAGGCAACGGCAACAAGGCGGCATGGCCTGTTTCAGATGCATATGTTGTTCAGGTTTTCGCTGGTATCGCCCAGCAAGAGATCGGATATTGGCAACAAGGCCGCGGTGCGGCAATATGTTTGTGAGGCCCCCTTTCCTTCTAGGAACGTTTGAAGAAAATTGCATGCACTTGTTCTCGGTGTAGCTGAGGGGTTCTTTCAAGTGATCGACACGTGAGTTCCTTTGCTCCTTTGTGCGCTGCTTTGTTGGCCAGTTGCTGGTTGTCGCCGCGGCCGTTTCAGCGCCAGAAAGTCTCTTCTGCGGGTCAATTTGGATTTGTCCATGTCTCAGAGCCAATGGGTCCCGTGCTGGTAACATGTCTTGGCGAATGGTACGCTTCAACATCAAAGGCCCCACCCTCCGGCTTGGCGTTTCGAAAGTTCGGAAAGGCAGCCGCTAAGCGCATGCCCAGGCTCCGAGCAGACTTGATAGGGTGTGGCAAGGGAGTTGGCGCACTTCTATGATACCCAAGCGAAGAATTTGCCATTTGGTTGAAGTGGGCAGTTCCCACAAACCTGCCCAGGAGTTCAGCACTCTCTTTGACTATGGAGCGCCTACATCCCCCGGCAATGTTTGGTTTCTATGTTAGCTACTGTTGGTTTCAAAGAACTGAAACGAGGTCGAACTCAGCTTCAGGCGGTCCGTCTCAGTGGGCCTTTTTGATTCCATCATCCACCCTGTTCAGTCAGCAGCAACCAGCAAGCAAAGCATGGGGTGTTCCCACAAGTTCAATCCATCTCGGATTGTACAAATTCTCCCCTGCCATATGATAGCTACGAGTACATGTCTGACGACGGGGTCCATTTTTACGTATTCCGGGCGAATGATGGCAGCAGAGGGTTTGCGAACTTACCCATGAAGGTTCCTTTCAGAGAGAATCCCGGGTTGCGCTTATTACAGTTCAAAACTTAATCCCCAGCCCAGTCGGCGCCCATCGATGGGCGGCAGGATGTTGGACACAGAGGCAGTGGCCGATGAGGCGGGAGAGTTTTGGGGGTTGCTTTGTTGTCGGAAGCGACCAGGAAAACGTTGCAGCTGTAGAATGACTAAGGCCAGCTGCCAGTGTCATGTCTGTACGTTTTGCAGGACAGACTCCTCTAGGACAGTTTTTTTTGCCACAAACAAAAGCGGAGGCCCAGCTGTTGTCAGCCATATGGCCCAGACGATGGCTTACATGTAGGCGGAAGGGTGGCCAGTATACAGTCTGTTGCACCAGGATGAGGAGAAACAAAGCTGACAAGGACGTCAAGGAGACAATAGTTTGCCATTATGCCTTTAGTTGAATCCGTTTCTTGAAAATCGTACATCATATGCCTTTCGAACGTTGACCGGCTCACACACTGCACACACCCTGCAGGCCCAGTCAACATCGAAGGTTCATTTGTTGTTTTTGGCAAAGGCGTGCACCCTTGCATGAAGGCTTGCAGAAGCCATCAGAAAGCAAAATTGGAGGAAGGGGACGCGATGTCCCATCCCCTTGCCAACCCTAAGATTTGGCTTATGGTTTCATTTTCCCTTTGCTATACATAAAATTGAATTGGGGGAATGCCCGCACTTCCCGCTCCGCCGCTCCCCGCCCATTGATCTAGAGGCATGTTCAGATGAGGTGAGCTTCAACGCAGTTGTCTCTGCGTACATCTCCGAGGGCAAGATGTCGCAGGCGAGGCGTCCTGTTTTCACTTGGGATGCGCGTTGGCTTCAGCTTGGTTCATCGAAGGGCTGTACTGCTATTGGAGACTTTAACTTTTGGATTCCCCTCACATTTCCTTGTAACCAGCAAAAGGTTAAACTTTTTGCAGGGGATCTACAGCACCCAAGAGGGGTGCGAAGCAACATCAGATGTTGAGATGTTCAACTGGGCTGTGATCGATAGCGCCAGAATCCCAGGCATTGAAACGTAGAGGGGGTGTCCGAAAAAGAGCCCGAAGCCAAAGTGAACGCGAAAGCTTGCGAATTCCAGTCGAGAAGGTTCCTGAAGAAGGTCACGCTGCGAAAGCAAAGCTGGCTCTCAATTGAACAGGGACATACCTTGGACATAGAATGTTTCTTGGGTCGTATGTTCTCGCTGTGCCGGTCAATACCAGGAAGAATCAACTGATCAGGGGAGGGCTTTGAGTTTGATCCAAGTTGGTGGACATTCTTGTAAACGATGGAACCCCGAAACATTTGGACCAATTCGGTTGGCAATTCCCCAGGCAGGCGAGGCCCTTGGAGCAAGGCCGGGTATTGGTTGAAGAAGATGGTGACCATGCGATTGGTGCCCGAAAGGCCGGAACGGACTTGCGGAAGGGAATCGAATCGAGTCGGGGATCGGAGTTCTGAGCTGAAGTGGTCCTTGTGACATGTGGCTGTGGCTCAAAAATCCGGTACCAAAATGGCCACCTTGGTGCAACGTTGCTAGCTCCCTAATTTTGAGCCACACCCATGTGGCGATGTGGTGATGGCGAAATGTTGGTGCTTTGGCAGTTGCGAAGATCCACCATAGGACAAGAGCCATTAAGGTTGTGACCCACTGTTGTGGTGTGAGTGTGTGTGTGTGTGTGAGTGTGTGTGCGAGTTTCCGACAAGCTGCGGATCATGAGCATTTTTTCTTATTGAGACGTAGTGATCACCTTCAATGCTTCGCCTCGCTGTTTTTCCCTGGCTTAACTGGAAATGTTCAATGATCGCTATAACGCACTTGTGTACCTCACTCGTGGTAATGAAACCTACCTATCCTGGCGGTGCCCACGTTGTCTCATCTGTTTGCATTGTGAATTGCAATTACTTCGCTAAATAGTCCGTTTCATTACTAAGGGGAACACCCCTCTACTAAATCGGTTGGTCGATGAACAAATCGGGTCCCCCATAAAAAGTTTTGCTCTTTGCCTGTAATGATGAGTGTGATCTTGCCAGAGTATCTTGCATGTGCTTGTGTCAAGTGCATGTCACTACCAGCCATTACAGAAGAACCCTGCAGCACTTCAACGTGCCGCCACATGCAAGAACGATGGACGTGAAATGAAGCTTCTCATATCTCAGTTGGGGCTCCCCGAAAGATCTGCATTTGTTGCACCCCACACCTGTGGACGGTCCCTGGGCGAGATGTGTAGCTATAAATTTGATATATATATATATTAAAAAAAAAAAAAAAAAAAAAGTGTGCACATTCTCCAAATCCCAATGTGATGTCCACAGAGTCGCACTTCATATTCGAGCCATCTCCCAAGATCCCTCTCCGAACCCCCCCCCGCTTTGTATGTTGCTTTCCAGAAAGGCCTTTGGGTCTTTCGGGGAACAGGATTGTCCGTTGGTGGCGATGGGTTTTCCCGTTATTCTGGGTGAATTATAACGACGTCACACGACCTCACCCCAAATGGTGGCTTATGTGCGGAATAGCACCCCCAACCACCTTATTTCAGGTTGGTGAAGTATTATTCTAGTTCACCCAGTTTATTGGTCTACGTCTTGGGAGGGAGGCTTGGAAGTTGATAGCCAGGACCAAGTTCAACGAGGTGATCCGACACCACGCCAAGCTGGGGCAGGTGAAGGAGGCTTCGGGGGGTTTCAGAATTCCCCCCCCCCCCCAGCCCCCATCGTTTTCGGTCTCATCAAAAATAATAATCAGGGACCCTACCAACCCAGCATACCTCCCACGCCCAAAGACCTGGTCTGAAGGCTGAATCCCTTAGCCTTCGGGCCTTAGGGTCTTTTATGGGGTGGCTGTAGGGTCCCTGGCTCACAAGAAACAATGCGGGCTTGATTTAACACACAACAGCTATTCCTCATGAGCCACCTGATTTGTTGGTATTTTGCCTCGGGACCTGTGTCTATTCAGTATTCTCTCATGAACCGCTTTGATTTCGCATGCTGCCTTTAGAAGCTTTGATCCTGTTGGGAGGCTAGGACCGGCCATGATCACGAAAGCCAGCCCTGTGGAAACCCTTTTAGGGGAAGGCGTCAGCTGAGTATCATCATGCGAACGAAGTGAGTAGGACCGAGGGCCCAAAAATGGCAGAAGTTTGAGGCGCTGGAGGGCTTGAATCCCACCTGGTCCGCTTGTCCGCGGTGACTTTTTCGTCCCGTATTCGAACCCATCCACCGCAAACGCGCCCAGACTGCCCCGCCATGATGCCTGCTTTTCACGCGCGAGTGCGCACGAATAAAATTGCAGCTCTTCGTTGCATTTTTGGGCTTCTGGGCTGGCTTTCTTTCTCCTTTCCTCGGCCAAACATGACGCAGCAGGTAGATGATATGCGGAGCCATACGTGAAATGGTTGGAACATGCAAGTATCCTTTTGACCGGTGTTTGTTACTGAGCGTTTGTAGGACAATTGGTACGCCTACGCCAGCCATCCGCGGAGTAATTACCTGAAACATGCGCCAAGTTAAATTTAAGTTGCACAACAACGCACGCACACGGACAAACGGACGCACAGAGACACACACACACGCACACACTTGCTAACGATTTGGTTGTGACAAAATATTTCCTAGAGCAAGCTGGCTGAAAGGTCTGACCTTGCACTGCTCAGGCCTTCTTTTGGCACTCGCTGATGAAGGCGGGAAACGCTTTTGTGATGGCAAGTGTTCTTTTGGTCAGGACCCGTTTGCGACCAGGGAGAAGCCTGAGTTTGCCGAGGAGGTGTAGTTTGCGTTTGAGGATATGAGCTATAAGGGTCACATAAAGAGGCTGGAGCCATAGCAATTGTTTGCCTGAAGAGTTTTTTCCTTCGGTCAATCAGCTCTCACATGAAGGCTTATAAGGGTGATTGATGCAAGAACTTCTGAACTGACATAGGGAGGTACAGCGTAATCCGGTGTGTTGGCTTTGTGAACAACATTATAATCAGTGTTTAGTCTGATGTGGTGTGTCTGTGTGTGTGTGTGCATCCTTGATTCTGGCCATAGTCCGCGTGGTACTGTCAAAGACTGCCAGGAGAGCAGATGATGAGTGGCTCATGACATGTAGCCATTAAAAGCTGTCGAGACCTGCTCGTGCAAGGTCCTTATTTTCAGCCAGTTGGTCTTCGGGGAATTTGGTGAAGTTCCTTCCCTTTTTATTGCCCGCATCCAGAAGAAAACAACCGACGACAAGACCTCATCCGAACATTTGGGTGCCTGCAGGTGTTTGACGGAGTGCTCCTGTTATATAGCGTTGCAATCTTCATATTCGCGCGCATTGGGCTCCAGCACGTCCCGGCGACCGTTTATATATTGTATCACTTCAAGTCTTGGCTTTTGATTGAAAAACAACTGCGGCAACTTAGTGCAAGCTGTTGATGCACTGGACTTCAAACCGAAACGGAGCAGCTTTGTCGGCGCCATGGGGCGCCGCCGCGCCGTCGCTTTCGCTTTCGGCAGAAGCCGCTGGGGGCTTTGGATACTTCTCTCGCTGGCGCTCCTGGGCCGAGCCTGGGCACGGTTGAGGTTCCCTTCGCTCAGTTGAGTGTCCGAGTGTGTCTTTCTGGTCTCAAAATGAAAAGCCCGCACAATGGCTCCCTTTTGGTAAGAAACGCACCCACCCTGCATTCTCCCTTGTTTGTTTTTGTTGCTTCCCAATTAGAACCAACATGAACAGCCAGATTTGGGACCCCCTTCTATCTCCACAGTCATCGGGGAACGTTGGTTTCAAGAATCTATTTTAGAACATCTGCTTTGAGCGACCTCGAGAGTCCCTGTTTTTAAAGCTGGGTATGGGTCAAAATTACACCACCAGGGGATTGCAGGTGTGAGTCCATGTTTCCACTTACCAGGGCTCCATTTTGGGTACATATTTTTGTTTGACCCCTGATGATTTTGTGATGCTTCCTCCCAGGGTTCGTGTTGCTCCGACAAGACGGGTGGGCCAAGACACGTTTGGATTGAAGGTTGGCAACTCAGTTGTCCCTTGGGCAGAATCCTGCACCTGCAGAATGGCAAATTGGTTACAGTGATTTCGGGAGATAGTTGGGTACAAACGGTTTGACGGCGCAACCATAGCATTCCCGTGGAACAATCAGAGCCCAGTCTTACGGGGGGTGTCATGGTTCTACTTGAAGTGGTGTTGCACGTTCCAGCTAACGAATTTGGAAGTGCATGTTGCGAAGACTTGCGACATGACGCGAGCATGTGGAATCAGCTTCCGAGATACCGCTTAATTGGTCGACTTGTTTGCAAGCAATTCAGCAAGGGTGTTGTCTAGAGGCGAACACGTTGTGCCACAGGAGCATCCTTATGTCGAGCTATCTGGTTGCCCTAGTCTTGCGGTTGGCCACCGTGTTGAAAAAGCATCCTCTATTGCGGTGGGTGCCAGCACAGTTTGCTTGGTTATTCAAAAGCGCCAGGGGATCTCCTGGATCCCACAGATCATTCACACCACGTGTTAGACTAAGGACGTGGAGACTCTTGGGTGTCTCCCTATGGCGTCGCTGAGCGCTCTTCCCCCTCCTTTGGGGCTGCTTCCGCAAGAGTCAGCCGGCCGAACAGAGCGAGTCGATTTCTGGAAGACTTGGCCTTGCATCTGAGAAATCTTACAGAGAGCGCCAAGATGGAGAATAGCGCATGTCTTCGTGTTTGGTTGGCAAGCAAGCAAGCAGTGTTGGTTCCATCGATACTTCATGTCTGGTGCTGGCTTTGCTTATCACTCAAATGAAGGGAGCCAAAAACAAGGGTCCCTTCCCAGGAGATTCCGTTCCAAAAATCTCGATCTGCGTTTTGGGCCCCTTTCGAACGCTGCGTGTTTGTTGGAAAGAGGTCAGCGCCTCGTGGTCTTTTTTGGCACATGGCCAAACACTCAGATGGTTTGCATTTTGGACCGGCGTGCAACATGGGTGAAGTTCTCAGCTTGCTTAGCCCAGGCGTCCGCACAGAGCTTGGCCCCCGAGCCCAAGATCATCATGCGCGCTGGGGAGAAGGAGCGCGCCGGCCATCAAGAATCTGGGATCGGTAGCAAAGGATAGCCTGGCCAGAAACAGGATGTTTGGCCCGGCGATTCTTTGCATGAATTCTGGGTAGACCACTTGAGAAGCAAAGCAAATGGGTAGGCTCAACTGAATTTGGGTAGACCACAAAAGAGAATGGGTTTATCCCACTTGAATTTTGGTTAGACCACCATCTTTTTTCGGATGGTGGCTCTGGCTGATCCCAAGCTCGACACTTGTGTTGAGCTTAGGCCATCGAGTTTGCGTCGCGGAGAAAGTGGCACGAAAGCCGGAGGCTGTCCGGCTTTCCCCAATGCGAGAGCTCCTGGTAAGCCTCACAGAGGGGACGTCCCAAAATACATAGGAAAACCAATGGACAATTCCAATTATTCAGCCTGCCACAAATTTTGGACCAACACGTGCGATCGATTTCTCGGGCACAGAGTCGAAGCCCGGCCACTCGGCGAGAGAACTTGTTCCCGAACGTCACGTTCGCCCACAGATCAGCAGTTGACGCACAGGGGTGTGGTTTTCAGGTGGGACTTGCCTGCGCCGCGCAGATGAAAAGTTTTGCTCCAACCTTGGGTCCCGCGTGATACTGGGTCGTGGTGAGGGGGCAATGTGTCTTCTCTTTGTTGACCTTAGGGTTCGGGGGTTTCGGGTTTCTGGGTGGGGGGGCGTGTGTCTTCTCCCTGTTGACCAGCAACACAGTTTTGAATTGGGGGGTTTCGGGTTTTTGGGTGGTGGGGCAATGTGTCTTCTCCCTGTTGACCGGCAACACAGTTTAGGGTTGGGGGGGTTCGGGTTTTTGGGTGGGGGGGCAATGTGTCTTCTCTTTGTTGACCAGCAAGTTTAGGGTTCGGGGGTTTCGGGTTTCTGGGTGGGGGGGCGTGTGTCTTCTCCCTGTTGACCAGCAACACAGTTTTGAATTGGGGGGTTTCGGGTTTTTGGGTGGTGGGGCAATGTGTCTTCTCCCTGTTGACCAACACAGTTTAGGGTTGGGGGGGTTCGGGTTTTTGGGTGGGGGGGCAATGTGTCTTCTCTTTGTTGACCAGCAAGTTTAGGGTTCGGGGGTTTCGTTTCGGGTTTTTGGGTGGTGGGGCAATGTGTCTTCTCCCTGTTGACCAGCAACACAGTTTAGGGTTGGGGGGTTTCGGGTTTTTGGGTGGTGGGGCAATGTGTCTTCTCCCTGTTGACCAGCAACACAGTTTAGGGTTGGGGGGGTTCGGGTTTTTGGGTGGGGGGGCAATGTGTCTTCTCTTTGTTGACCAGCAACACAGTTTAGGGTTGGGGGGTTTCGGGTTTCTGGGTGGGGGGGCATGTGCCTTCTCCCTGTTGACCAGCAACACAGTGTAGGGTTGGGGGGTTTCGGGTTTCTGGGTCGGGGCGTTATGTGTCTTCCCTGAAGAACAAAGCCGAGCTGGAAGCCTGCGTTTTGCGGCGGGGGGCGGGGGCGCGGGCAAACGTAGAGTTGTGGGCGAACTTGTTCAAAGCTGGCAAAAAGGCCCGACATCAATATTCACCATCTGGAGAGGTTCAAAAGTAGCACCCTGATTTGTACGGCTCAACGCACCGATTTTTTGCCGATTTCGGACACCTCGCTTCGCTTCCGCTCGGTTCTAGGAGCTGGACACAGATGCTGTTGGCAAGTATGTGGCTGCCATCTCTGTGCAGGTGGGGAACCTGTTCGGCTACGGCAAAGTGGAATCCTTCCCTCTAAGAATAATATGGTCTCAACCCTCCCCTCCACCTCTTTTCCCTTGCCAATAATAGGCTACCAGGGTCTTCCAAGGATTCTATTCGGGCCTTGTCCAAAGGGGCGCCATGCAAGGGGTTTAGGTGGACTGCAGTTGGACATAGCATTGTCCTAGCTCCAGTTTTGTCTTGGGGAATTGATCATGGACCCCCAAGGGGGCTGTCGGAGGGGGCTATGCCATTAACAAGGCCCCATTAAGGGGTTAATAAGAGATAGCCCCCCTCCCCATACCCCGCCCCCCCCCCCCCCGGCCCCCCCTAGAAAAATTGATTTGAGAATTTGGGCAAACACATATTTAATAGGGTACATTGACCAGAAGTCGGGCATAGAGATTGAGAGGTCGCCAAAGGGCGTCAGCCTCTCCCTCCGGTCGTGCGAGGTGCTGGCCATCGCCAGCTTCTTCTTGGCTTTGGACACCGGGAGCCAGGCCTTCAACGTGCAGGTGCCCGACTGGGCGGTCTTTGGGCCCCTCGACGTGTGAGGCTGAGGGGCTGCTCGGAGTTCGGTTCAGGGGTATATAAGGGGACCCATGAAGGGCCTGAGGATCCCTTGGTTCTGCTTGAAGAAAATGAGAGTAATGTGGGCGTGGCTCAAAATTCAAGACGTGGGGTTACGCAGGTTTTAGGCTTTGGCTCCATTTACCAAGGTGCTTGTTTTGTACCATTGTTTGAGCCACTGCCATGTGTGCAGGCTGACATCCCATTCAAGGTTTGGGTTCGTTTGAAGTAAAGGGATTCATTCAGCTGAGTGATCCGTGGGCATCCGTTCCCAGTGCCTTGACCTTTCAACACAGCCAAAATGAGTTCCTGAAAAGTCCCCAGAACCAAACTACCTGTCCAGCAGACTCAGGCTGTTCTTCGGCATGAGCATCCGCTCACGGCTCTTTTCGCCTTTGGACAACTCC